CACGGCCCGCCGGCGCCAGCCGCCATCTTAGCGCGCGCGCGCGCGCTCCAGCCCCGCCCCTAGTCGCCGGGCCTACGCGACCACATGGGAGGGGCCTGTCCGTCACGTGGCACCGGCGAGAGGCGGGGCCAAGATGGCGAAACCCCGGGAAATGAACCTGCGGCGGTGGTAGCCGAGGCTGTGAAGAAGGCGGAGGAGTGACGACATCTACGCCATAGTTCGGCGGCGGCGGAGTGTGACCGGGCGCCAGCTCCCAGGTCGCAGAGAGTGACCCGCAGTGGAGCTCGCTTCTCGCAGCTGGAGAACTGAGGGAGAAGGTTGCCGGGTGGGGGAAGCTGCCGCCCTCTGCTTGGCGGGGCTGAGGGGCCCAGAGTCCAAGGCGTCCCTGGTCACTCCGGCTTCCCCGGAGCCCCAGGTCTGAAGACATGACCCGAGAGTGCCCTCCCCCGGCACCGGGGCCCGGGGCTCCGCTGAGCGGGTCGGTGCTGGCGGAAGCAGCGGTGGTGTTCGCCGTGGTGTTGAGTATCCACGCAACTGTGTGGGACCGGTACTCGTGGTGCGCCGTGGCCCTCGCAGTGCAGGCCTTCTACGTCCAATACAAGTGGGACCGGCTGCTACAGCAGGGAAGCGCCGTCTTCCAGTTCCGTGTGTCTGCAAACAGTGGCCTACTGCCCGCCTCCATGGTCATGCCTTTGCTTGGACTAGTCATGAAGGAGCGCTGCCAGGCTGCGGGGAACCCATTCTTTGAGCGCTTTGGCATTGTGGTGGCAGCTACTGGCATGGCAGTGGCCCTCTTTTCATCAGTGTTGGCGCTGGGCATCACTCGCCCGGTGCCCACCAACACTTGTGTCATCTCAGGTTTGGCTGGAGGTGTCATTATTTATATCATGAAGCACTCGCTGAGCGTGGGTGAGGTGATCGAAGTCCTGGAAGTCCTGCTGATCTTCGTTTATCTCAACATGATCCTACTATACTTGCTGCCCCGCAGCTTCACCCCGGGGGAGGCGCTGCTGGTATTGGGTGGCATTAGCTTCGTCCTCAACCAGCTGATCAAGCGTTCTCTGACTGTGGTGGAAAGCCAGGGGGACCCAGTGGACTTCTTCCTGCTAGTGGTGGTGGTAGGGGTGGTGCTCATGGGCATCTTCTTCAGCACCCTCTTTGTCTTTATGGACTCAGGTACCTGGGCCTCCTCCATCTTCTTCCACATCATGACCTGCGTGCTGGGCCTTGGCGTGGTCCTACCCTGGCTGCACCGGCTCATCCGCAGGAATCCCCTGATCTGGCTTTTTCAATTCCTCTTCCAGACAGACACCCGCATCTACCTCTTAGCCTATTGGTCTCTGCTGGCCACCTTGGCCTGCCTGGTAGTGCTGTACCAGAATGCCAAACGGTCATCCTCCGAATCCAAGAAGCACCAGGCCCCTACCATTGCCCGAAAGTATTTCCACTTCATTGTGGTAGCCACCTACATCCCAGGTATCATCTTTGACCGGCCATTGCTCTATGTGGCCGCCACTGTATGTCTGGCAGTCTTCATTTTCCTGGAGTATGTGCGCTACTTCCGCATCAAGCCCCTGGGTCACACTCTGCGGAGCCTCCTGTCCCTCTTCCTGGATGAACGAGACAGTGGACCACTCATCCTGACACACATCTACCTGCTCCTGGGCATGTCTCTTCCCATTTGGCTGGTCCCCAGACCCTGCACACAGAAGGGTAGCCTGGGGGGAGCGAGGGCCCTAGTGCCCTATGCTGGCGTCCTGGCCGTGGGTGTGGGTGATACTGTGGCCTCCATCTTCGGCAGCACCATGGGGGAAATCCGTTGGCCTGGAACCAAAAAGACTTTTGAGGGGACCATGACATCTATATTTGCACAGATCATTTCTGTAGCTCTGATCTTAATCTTTGACAGTGGAGTGGACCTAAACTACAGTTATGCTTGGATTTTGGGGTCCATCAGCACTGTGTCCCTCCTAGAAGCGTACACTACACAGATAGACAATCTCCTTTTGCCTCTCTACCTCCTGATATTGCTGATGGCCTAGCTGTTGTGCAGCAGCAGTGATGGAGTTAACAAGGACATGGGGAGGATGAACAGTCCCACAACAGCCAGCCACTTGGGCATGAGAAACCAAGAGGTGAAAAGCAGATTTAATTTTTCAGTTGATTCAGATTTAAAATTAAAAAAAAGCAAAGCTCTCCTGCTTTTAGTTTTTTAGATTAAAAAAAAAAAAAGGCTTAAAGAAATAGTACGACAAGTCAAAGAACTTGAGTGTGCTGTAGAGGCCCATCTCCTCCCACCTTGCAGTCTCAGAGGGTACTGGAGTGGCCAGTAAAGCATAGTGGTTAATGCTTCAGGTTCTGGTGTCAAACTAATTTGGTCAGAATCCTTGGCTGCACAACTTCTTAACTATGTGACCTTGGGTGAGTCACTTAACCAGTCTGAGCCTCAGTTCAGTCTGCAAGATGGGAATAATGAGAGCCTGCACCTCACAGGATTTTGTGAGGATCTGGTGAGATGGAGTGTGTGAAGTGTCCAGCCTGGCTCATCCATGATGGGCAATCAATAAGGGAGTGTCATTGTTACCCAAAACCAGTCCTCATCTTAGCAAAGAGCCAGGTGAGCCAAGGGATTTTATGAGTTATACTCAGAAACCAGAGTGACCTTTACTCTACTGGCTTCGCTTGGAGGAGAAGTTGGGCATGTGGAAGGGCTGGGGAAGAGAATCAGATCCTGGGCTGTTGTCCTGTTTCAGCCAACCCCACACCTGCCTCTGCTGCCTGGCTGAGGGGTGCTGATAGAGAAGGATGGGCTGAATAGCACCAGGTCCTTGCCAACGGGTCCTTCCTGAGACCCTTTCACGTTCCAGTCCTGTCCAAACCATCTTTGTCTCTTCACATGGCAGAGCCTAGGACAGATCCACAGGGGCTGGAGGAGTTTCCTGAGAGTTCAAAATGGGTCTGCTAGGGGTGGCACGCTCTAGGAGAGCATGTCAGGGCAGGCTCTGGGTCTGTGTGGTCCCCAACACATCCCCCAGGGTTAGCACAGAGCCGGCACATAGCAGGAACTCAGTAGACGCTCGCTGAATGGATGAACATTTCCCATCAGTAGAAGAGAGCACAGCAGGATTTCCGAGGCTAGAAGATTTCCTCCTGCTCACCAAGCCTGGCAGGCAGGAACTTAGCAGGAAGAGGTGAGAACTTTGGCCCACCAAGGCCAGAAACCAGGAGTGGGGCTCTAGGGAGCTGGAGCTTCTGCCTGGGAATACCAGAGGAAGACATCTCCTCAGGCACATTCATTCCTTCATTGAGGTGTTCCTTCAGGGCTCAATGGAGATTTAACAAACCCACTCCTCCCAGACTCTGTTCCACTGCTAGCCAAAGGAAGTGGCAAAATGTTGGGGAAAGAGCACCAGCTTTGTGTCCACTGGCTCCCCAGCTGGCCTTGGGGAAGGGCTCTATCCTCTGGGCTTTGGTTTGTCCATGTAGATAGTGGGGGAATGGACTAAATCAGGTTCACAAGCTCATATGGCTACCGCAGCCAGGCAGATAACTCAATGAATGAGGACAGGGGACCGCACTGGGCCTCTAGGGAGGCACCTGCAGCAAGTAATCACAATGCTAGAGTGTAGGCTCAATGCTGTCGATTGCCCACTCATTCAAGGAAGCTTGAATGGGTGAAACCTGGATTGTGTGAAACCTCTCAATTAAAAAAAATTTTTTTTAATGCTGAGGCCCAGACAAAACACACCTGCAGTCTGGAATCAGCCAGCATCCCCCAGTTTGCAACCTCTGGGTTAGACCCCAGCCAAGAAGGTTTTGGGTCTGGTAGTTGTTCCAGAAGGTCTGGGTGCCTGCCAAGCATACCTAAGCAGGAGGGGCTCTGGAGATCTAGTCTGACCACCTTATTGTACAGGAGGGGAAACAGGCCCAAAGAGAAGGATCTGGCCTGCGACCAGAGAACAAGATAGTCACAGAGCCAGGACCAGAACCTGGGACTCTAGATTCCTACTCCTCGGCTTCTTTCCTCTCCCCAAGCAGAGAACACGGGATAGTGTAGAGGTTAGGAGCACAGGCTCTGGTTGAGGCTGCCCTCCTGAACAACTGAGCAGCTGTGTAACTTGGGCAGGAAGGGACATGGGCCCTCCTTACCATTTCCTTGCCTCGGCTGCTTCATCTGTAAATGAGGATGATTAGAGCACCTACTTCTCTGTATAAGGATTCAGTGAGGCACACAAATGTCACTTAATGTTAAAATCATGCAAACCATGCCAGGGAAGACTGGGTACCTGGGATGATTTTCAGCAGGGCTATCATCTGGAGAGCAAGGCTGCTTGGGAAAAAAGGGTCAATTGAGAAGCTGTGTTTGGAAATTGTTTTTATTCAGTGTCTTACTCAGTAATAATCAGAGTTCCATACGAGAGCAGAGAAGAGTGACAAGTGGCCAGGACCCTTTCATGGCTGAGAGGCTGCCTCAAGGGGGAGCTTGTGTTGGGCCAGTGGGGAGGCAGAGAGACAAAGATCTTGGGGAAGCCACCCACCCATCCCGGGCTGCTGCCTGTCACTTCCACCTCTTGCCTGCCTGTCTGCAGGGCTGAGGGGCACAGGCACCAACAGAGGAAAGCCCAGGAGGGGAGATGCAACTTCCCTGTTGCAGCCAGGAGGGCAGTAAGGCACTGGTGTTTGCAGCCCACAGCTTCACCTGGGAAGGGTCAGGGCCCCAGCCCTGGGAGGGCCTTTAGGTGTACAGTGGAGGAAAGGGCAGCTCAGCTGTCGGCTGCAGCCTGCATTGGATGGAGGAGACGGCCTTGACATGCCAGCATTACTGCTCTCAGCCTCCAGTGCCCTTCAGGGGACTGTCTGGGGCACAAATACACACCCTGCCACCTACCAGTTGTCCGGGCTCCAAACGGTGCCCGAGGCCTCCATGAGGTGGAAAGTATAGACATGGCGTGAGCTGTCGGAGAGGTTCTGCTCGCTCTTATGCACCACTTCTCCATGGATGAGGACCAGCGCCCCTGGGTGGGGACACGAGCAGATTGGAACACCAGCCCCGCGTTTACCCCTTCCCAGGGCAGGAAGGGACGTCGGCCTTCCTCCCTCCAGCAGTTTTGTGTTCCCGACTCATCCCCATCTCCACCCTGAAAGCTCAGGTGCCTGCAGCCTGCTCCAGGGGCAGAGGCCATGCTGTTTAGACATGGGCTGTCCTGGGATCAAGGGCTCTCTGCTGTGGCCTGTGTCCTTGGCAAGCCTTAGGTAGGGCCTCCCGTCTGTGGCGTTTGCAGGATCAGGCAGAAAACCTCTGTACTGTGCCAGTCACTTGGGACCCTGCCCATGATGCTAGGTTGGACCTCACTTTTCCCTTTTCCATAAGGAAGGGGGTGGACCGAGAGCCAACATTTGTTGAGCACTTCCTGTGCACCATGCAGGTTCTACGTAAACATCCTGTATACATCATCTCACTGCCCTCCCCACTTTACATTTGGGGAAACTGAGGCTCTGAGAGAGTCAGTCATTTGTGCAAAGCAACAGCCCCTAAGTAGTATAGTCTCGATTCTATTCTGATCCAGGGGAACTTGCTGGCAATCACACTGCTTCCCACCTCTCAAGTGCCTGTCCAGCCCCACCTGCTCTCATTCTGTGACTTCACAGCCCACAGATGACCCCTAGGGGAGCCTCATGGATGCTGGATGGTCAAGCAAACACAGACCCATGGGCATGACCCCCTGCCCTCTGCATCCCTTCTACCTCTCCGCACTGGTGTGGGCACAAAGAGGTTGTTGTCCCGGGCTGGCTCTGACCCGAGGAACCTGGTGCCAGGCATCGAGCCAGAAGGGGCCCGGATGAGCCTTCTTGACACTCCACCTGCAGGCAAGATGGAGCCTTTAACCCTCTTTTCTCCAGGCCCCTCTCCCTGGAGAGAGAGTGGGGGAGTACAGATGGGCAGGGAGGGGCAGGGGTTCTCACTGGTGTGGGAGCCAGGGATGAACCAGAGGCAGCCATTCTCCAGTGTGGTATCCTCCAACGCGATCCACAAACCCAATAGCTGGCCCAGGGGCTCCGTGTACAGGAAGGAGGCATCCTGGTGAGGAAGGACTGCGGCAGACCCGCCTGGGGGTGAGGAGCCCACCCCTTTGCCCAGTCCCACCTCACCTTGGCCTTGTTTCCCATTCCTTAGTCCTCTCTGAGCCTTCCAGTTAGTCTCACCATAGGAAGGAGGCATCCTGGTGAGGAAGGACTGCGGCAGACCCGCCTGGGGGTGAGGAGCCCACTCCTTTGCCCAGTCCCACCTCACCTTGGCCTTGTTTCCCATTCCTTAGTCCTCTCTGAGCCTTCCAGTTAGTCTCACCACTTCCTGGCCCAGGAACTCTGGGCAAGAGATTTCACTGTCAAAGCTTCAACTTCCTAAACTGTAAAGTGGCCCCAACAATAACCTACTTCATAAGGTTACTAGAGGATTCCATAAGATGATGTATGAAAAGTGCTTAGTACAGGGCCAAACATTATAATTGCTTGCTAAAATGTAGCTGCTATTGTTTCATTCCAGCCAGGAAACTAAAGCCACCATTCTTAACCAGGGATGAGCAGCTCCCAGCCACAAGTGGGTCCATGCAGTGGTATAAGATTGGGAAATTGGGTGCGAAGTAGAGGAATAAGCATGACCAGCATCCATATCTTGTAAAACCTCCCCATGTGATGCTGTGCACAGCCAGGTGGAGAACCACTGAACACCAGAACTCAGTCTGCACTAACAAAGTAAAGGAGGTGCTGGTCTCACCGCCTTCCTTCCTGGGCTGCTGTGTTTCCTAACAGTGGGGGCTTCAAAGCATTTGGGAGAGGAATGGCTGAAGGAACTGGGGGTGCTAGACTCGGGCAGAGAGGCTCAGGGAGGGATGGCCATCCCATCAGGGGACTGAATGGTGTGGAGGAGGGCGGTGGTCACGAGGAGGCACATTTGGGCTCCTGCAAAGGAGGACAGGGCCGTCTGTGAGGGGGTAAGCTCCCTGCCACGGGAGGTGTTTGAGCAGAAGTGGATAATCATCCACCAGGAGGCTGTAAAGGGTATCTGTGCATTCGGCGGGGTTTGGAACTCTATCAGCAAATTCCATGCTGAATTAGTCCTCGAGGGACCTTACTAAAAATACAGATCCCCAGGGCCGGCCCATGGCTCACTTGGGAGAGCGTGGTGCTGACAATGCCAAGTCAAGGGTTAAGATCCCCTTACCGGTCATCTTTGATTCTTTGAGAAAGGCGTTTTTGATAAAAAAGGTTTGGAGCTGGGGACCTAGAGGTGGGGAGGAGGGGACCCTGAGGGGGCTGGACTTGGGTATCTGCCCCCCAGGGCTGGAAAGGTGCCGAGGCCCGCTGCCTGTGGGAGTCTGGCTCCAGTTCTTCTGCCTTTACCTGTTCTCTGTGCCACAGGAAATTTCCTGGTCCCTCCAGAGAAATCCATCAACAAAATTGGCCATGGTGAGCAGGGGCCCAGGAGTGTGGGAAAGAAAATGGGGAAACTGACGCCTGAAACGTTTAGGAGCCTAAATCAGAGCCCATAGTAAGGTAGTGGTCAGGCAAATGGCATTGCTGGCTGCTGGCTCCCCATCTGGCCTCCTTGGTCTTCTGCATCTTATGAGCTGATCATATGACGCTGCCACCACAGCACTGGGAAGCGGGTCCACTTGAGTCCCACTGAACAGATGGGCACGTGCATTCTCCTCCAATCTCTACTGCCTGGCCCCAGGCACTGGGAGGATCCTGGGTACACCTGCTTCTTGGAGCCTCTTTAATGGGCACCTTACATATTGACGGGATTCCTATCCTGAGACCCCAAAACCAACTAAGGAAAATGTCCCTCCCCCCCGTTTTTTTTCAGGATCATACATTACAATTTATTTTTGCAGACTTCTTATTTTTTTTATTTTTTAAAAGATGACCTGTAAGGGGATCTTAACCCTTGACTTGGTGTTGTCAGCACCACGCTCAGCCAGTGAGCGAACCGGCCATCCCTATGTGGGATCCGAACCCGGGGCCTTGGTGTTATCAGCACCGCACTCTACCGAGTGAGCCACGGGCCGGCCCACAATAGCAAATTTTATGTGTATTTTTTCACAACTTGTTTACAAAGCTACCGTGATATAACTTCAAGTTTAAAAAAATGAGTCTGGGCCGGCCCGTGGCTCACTCAGGAGAGTGCGGTGCTGATAAAAACAAGGCCATGGGTTCGGATCCTATATAGGGATGGCCGGTTCGCTCACTGGCTGAGCGTGGTGCTGACAACACCAAGTCAAGGGTTAAGATCCCCTTACAGGTCATCTTTTAAAAAATAAAAAAAATAAGAAGTCTGCAAAAATAAATTGTAATGTATGATCCTGAAAAAAAACGGGGGGGAGGGACATTTTCCTTAGTTGGTTTTGGGGTCTCAGGATAGGAATCCCGTCAATATGTAAGGTGCCCATTAAAGAGGCTCCAAGAAGCAGGTGTACCCAGGATCCTCCCAGTGCCTGGGGCCAGGCAGTAGAGATTGGAGGAGAATGCACGTGCCCATCTGTTCAGTGGGACTCAAGTGGACCCGCTTCCCAGTGCTGTGGTGGCAGCGTCATATGATCAGCTCATAAGATGCAGAAGACCAAGGAGGCCAGATGGGGAGCCAGCAGCCAGCAATGCCATTTGCCTGACCACTACCTTACTATGGGCTCTGATTTAGGCTCCTAAACGTTTCAGGCATCATTTTCCCCATTTTCTTTCCCACACTCCTGGGCCCCTGCTCACCATGGCCAATTTTGTTGATGGATTTCTCTGGAGGGACCAGGAAATTTCCTGTGGCACAGAGAACAGGTAAAGGCAGAAGAACTGGAGCCAGACTCCCACAGGCAGCGGGCCTCGGCACCTTTCCAGCCCTGGGGGGCAGATACCCAAGTCCAGCCCCCTCAGGGTCCCCTCCTCCCCACCTCTAGGTCCCCAGCTCCAAACCTTTTTTATCAAAAACGCCTTTCTCAAAGAAGAATCGAATCTTGTCACCGCTGTTCAAGAAATAGTCTGAGATGCACTGTGGAAAGGGAACATTGAAGAGACTGAGAGAGCACCCCGGGGCCAGAGCTGGGCCTGGCAAAGAGAGGAGAGGATTTGGATGCTCCCCACCCATCAGGATGACAGATCCCCCGCACAAGGGGCTTTCACAAACATGTCCACTGGGGCACAGACAATGAAATACATGTGCCTGGAAGCACAGCCTGAAGCTACAAACATAGAATTTCTTGGAAACTTCTTAATGTTGTGACTCAGAACCCAGATGCAAGAGTTAAACAGGCCTGGTTCCCAGCTAGCCTTGAGCCCCTCATTTCACCTCTCAAAGCTTTGATTTCCTCATCTGTAAAAGCAGAATAATATTAGAACTAACCTCCCCAATTGCTGGAGGCTTCAGCCAGAGGCTGAATCTTATAGCAGTTGTGGGCACAGACTGCGGAGCTAGAATACTTGATTTCAAATCCCATCTCTGCCACTGACTGGCTATGTGACCATGACCACATTACTGACATTTCTGGGCTTAGTTTTTTTTTGTTGTTGTTGCCCAGCTAGCCTTGAGCCCCTCATTTCACCTCTCAAAGCTTTGATTTCCTCATCTGTAAAAGTAGAATAATATTAGAACTAACCTCCCCAATTGCTGGAGGCTTCAGCCAGAGGCTGAATCTTATAGCAGTTGTGGGCACAGACTGCGGAGCTAGGATACTTGATTTCAAATCCCATCTCTGCCACTGACTGGCTATGTGACCATGACCACATTACTGACATTTCTGGGCTTAGTTTTTTGTTGTTGTTGTTGTTTTTTATTTTAAAAGATGACCAGTAAGGGGATTTTAACCCTTGGCTTGGTGTTGTCAGCACCACGCTCAACCAGTGAGCGAACCGGCCATCCCTATATAGGATCCGAACCCATGGCCCTGGTGTTATCAGCACCGCACCCTCCCGAGTGAGCCATGAGCTGGCCCTCTGGGCTTAGTTTTTTCATAAAATATAGATGCTATTAATGGTACCTATCTCAGAGGGTGTTGTAAGGATTATTAGTTGGTACATATAAAGCACAAGAACAGTCCTTGGAATGTGCTAAGTACCATGTGAGTATTTGCTATTATTAGTAGTAGTAGTACTACTTCTACTGCTACATACATGAGGGTACTTCCAAAAGTTTGCAGAAAATAGAATTGAAAGACCATACAGGGCTGGCTGGTTAGCTCAGTTGGTTAGAGTGTGGTGCTGATAACACCAAGGTCCAGGATTCCATCCCTGTACTAGCCAGCTACCAAACAAAAATAAAACAAAAAACAAATGTTTTCATGTACTTTTTGAAGTACTCCTGTAAAACACTCAGCAAGGCATAGCTAAATGCTCAATAAATATAAGCCATTGCTAATCTTTTTCTCTTTTCTTAATAACCACTCCTCATTAACTATAATATCATATTTTACATTTCTTAGAATCATATGAAAACAATACTCCAGGAAGATGCACCCTGTTTTTCCCTGTGGTTTTAGCTACACTTGACTGCCATCATATAGATCTCCTCCCCAGGGGGATGCAAGGATATTGTCCAAAAAAAAAAAAAAAAAAAAAGGATATCGTCCAACCCTTTCATTTTACAAATGCAGACTGTGCCTATCTTTCTGCATGTGACAGAACTGGAACAAGTGGCACTGACGCCCATACCTGGATTCCCCAGGTGGCCACAGCCCCACCGCTCCCTCATGCAAGGCTCTGATCTGAGACACCCTGTGTGGCTCAACTCGATGACCTGTCCTTTCAAAGTCATTCCCATTGAAGACTAAAAGTTGTTCTCAACATTCTTAGCAATTCTGCACCAGGATGAGGCTGAGGGAAGCAAGTCAGGGAAGCACGGTTGATAATATTAAAGATAATGATGCTGAACAGGTGTCAAAGAGTTTACTTAACTCATTAATTCACGAGGGAACCAGTAAGATGTTATATCCAGTTCAAAGGAGAATTCCAAGAACCACATGTATACAGACAATAAGGAATGCTAAAGTGGATTTACTAATCGATGCCAAAGTGGTTTATCCATGAGGCAATAATTGCATTCTGCCACACCCGTTCATATCCATTTCTATGGATGAGTATCATGTGCATTATTATCAGTTTTATACAACTTACAGGGTTGTAAAATAACTCAAAGACAATAAAAGGTAGAGGTAACCTGTAAAGGAGAGCAACGCAGGATACTCACCAATCTTTTTTTTTCTAAACGCACATTTCACAGTTTTTCACAATATCAATAGTGAATATTTGAGGGTTTTACTGACTTCTGGGCACTCTGCCAAGCTCTTTTCTCTGCATCCTTCCCACCCCTGCAACCCACTGGTCTCTGGAGCATACTCAGAAGGCAGCTTGAAGAGCACAAAAGTCAGCCCCTCACTCCTCAGAGCCCTTGCATGATCTGACTTGACTGTGTCTGGCTGCAGGACCCCTGTCTCTGCTTTCTTCACCTGGAAGGGAGGCATGCAGCACATGAGCCCAGCTATGTGGAGGAAACTTGTCATTCCACAACCCTTTTTCCTTCCAAGACCCATTCCCTCCGTTCCCTGGGATGCAAGGCTTCTGGCTGATGTAATTCCCTTTATGCCCACCAGATGGCAGGAGCTCCTCGGTGTGGGTGTGAGCAAGCCCCACAAGCGTGCCTGGACTCAAATTCAGACTACAAGGGTTCAAGAGAACTGCGTGGATATCCCCCGAGTCTCAATGTATCCATTTCAAACTGTACTGAGTCCTATTATGTGACCTATTAGGTCACTGGGAGGAAACAGAGTTCCTCCCCTCTTTGGAAGGTAAGACACGGGTAAGCCCATCAACCAGTGGGCTCATTCTAGGTTGCTGGCCACAAAGATGCCCTTTGTGGCAGGAGAACTACTGGGGAAGTACAGCAGAGCAGTGAACAGCACAGACTTGGTATCAGACAGAGGTGGGTTCAAATCCTGACTCTCTATCAATTACTATCTGTGTGCTTTGGAGCAAGTGATCTGAGCCTCATTTTCCCCATCTGTCAAATGGGGTCAATAATGCCTACCTTATAAACTTAAATTCACAGTGAGGAATGAGGGAAAGATGCACGTAAGGTGCTTAGAATGGCACTTGGCACGTGGGAGGCTCAGGGCCTGATCCATTATCAGAACAAGCCAGTGTGCCTTGGGCCCCTCCCTTCCAGGCTGCTGCTCTGGCAGGAGACTGAGCCTCCATCAAAGACCGGATCCCACCGTCATCTGCCCCGTGCACCCACTTGGGCTCGAAGCTGCTCCTCTTCATCGGTGGAAAATTCCGTGAGGCAGTGGAGAGGGACATCCATCTTGGCCACTATCTCGCCAATCCTCTGCTGCATGGCCACACACTCGTCTGCAGACAAGAATCCTTCCAGCACCAGGAACCCGTCCTCCTTGAACTACAGGCAAGAACGAGACACATGCTTCCCCCTGCCTTCAAATGTTCTCTATGACATAGGCCGGCCGTGGCTCACTCAGGAGAGTGCGGTGCTGATAACACCAAGGCCTCGGGTTCGGATCCCATATAGGGATGGCTGGTTTGCTCACTGGCTGAGCGTGGTGCTGACAACACCAAGCCAAGGGTTGAGATCCCCTTACCGGTCATCTTTTTTAAAAAAAATAAAATAAATAAAATAAAAAATAAATAAAAAACAAATGTTCTATATGACAATATTTGACCCCTCCCCCAAACCAGCAGCTGTGTAAAGATGAGACCAAGTGCTGCCCGCACCCCAACACGGTGCATGGTGTCTGGCATCCAACGAGAGCAATCAGTATTGGCTGCTCGAATGAAGGAAGGAGGAAGGGGATGGGGAGGTTGTCCCTGCCCCATAGGCTTGAGCCACATGGAAATACCTCATTCATTTATTCAGTAAATAGTGTACTCACCAATCTTTTTTTTTCTAAACGCACATTTCACAGTTTTTCACAATATCAATAGTGAATATTTGAGGGTTTTACTGACTTCTGGGCACTCTGCCAAGCTCTTTTCTCTGCATCCTTCCCACCCCTGCAACCCACTGGTCTCTGGAGCATACTCAGAAGGCAGCTTGAAGAGCACAAAAGTCAGCCCCTCACTCCTCAGAGCCCTTGCATGATCTGACTTGACTGTGTCTGGCTGCAGGACCCCTGTCTCTGCTTTCTTCACCTGGAAGGGAGGCATGCAGCACATGAGCCCAGCTATGTGGAGGAAACTTGTCATTCCACAACCCTTTTTCCTTCCAAGACCCATTCCCTCCGTTCCCTGGATGTGAACCAGGTGGGAAGGAGAAGGGTCTTAGGCCTTAACAAGGACATGGGAAGTCACTTCTTGAAACACCGTAAAGTGTCTGATTTCCAATTACTGACCCCTCTATTCCCAGTTCTGGCTTCCACACACTGGATGTTGGAACATTCATGATCATTGACTATGGGCCCTTCTGTCTCTGGGCAGCTCTGCATGTTAGAAAGAATCACATCGGTATCAAGCTGAGAACTGCCTCCTTGGGAACTGGGCCATCCACAGCAAACTGCATACTCTTGATTCAGTAAACACACTGCTAGGAAGTCTTCTGAGATTAGCATATCGGGGAGCAAAGATGTATGCTTAGTGAGAGCAATCAATAGAAAATAATCTAAATGCTCACAGGCTGATGAGTTAGCTCACTTGGTGTTATAACACTGAGGTCAAGGGTTCGGATCCCATACCTGCCATCCACCAAAAAAGAAAAATTTTTAAAAAGGTGGTTATGAGTTGTTCGATTAGCTCTGTTGGTTATAGTGCAGCCTTATAACACCAAGGTCACAGGTTTGGATCCCAGTATCAGCCAGCCACCAGAAAACAACAACGAAAAAAGCTGGATACAAGTGAGTATCTGATGGCTGTAAGAACTTGGGCAAGTGGTTTCCTCTCTGTGGCCCTCAGACTATCAAATGGAGTAGCAGTGGTGCCTCCTTTAGAGAACACGTGGTGAGGGTGATAAGTGATGGTGATAGCTGCTGTTGAAACAGATTAGAGGGCTGTATATCAAAATATTAACAGTCTTGGCATAGGAATTTATGGGTGGTTTCAGTTTTTTTAAAACTCTGTGTGCCTCTAATCCCCTTGTGTTAGCGTTAGCCTTTCCTATTTGGAAGGACACATGACCCTGGGAGGACACATGACCCTGGGAGGACGATCTCCCCTGGCCCCGCCCCTGTCCATGCCCCCGCCCCCTGCTCGCCAGAGGATCCCAATGTTTTATTCTGGTTTGAGTCATACACACATTCCCACCCCATCACGGGTCCTGTGACATGGATACCCCAGGCTGTGTACCTGCAGAGGTTAGAGGTTATGATTGGAAACCCACCCCTTTAGTGGTCAGTTTCCTCTTTTGTAAAATGGCGGGGGGTGGGTTGACTTCCTGGGGACTACTGGAGATTAAGTGGGCCCCCCCCACTTTTACCTGACCCTCCCAGCCCCTACCCTGCGGGTCCCTACCTTCTGGAGCTGCGAAAGGCTTAGGCAAGCCATGGGGACAATCAGGGCAAGTGGCTCTGACTGCTAAGTCCAAAGCGGGAGAAGAGGAAGTTCAGGAGGGAGGAGTCATCTGGGAGGACCAGAAAGACTTAACCCTTGCCTACCCAGAAGAAACCCATTACCACTACCCAGCCCTCCTCTCCCAAACATGCACAGACCAGCACGTGCCCTCCAGGCTGAGCCCCCTCCAAGCTGGACCCCAGCCCAGCACCTACCCCACCCCCACCCCGCCCTCCCCCCTGCCCTGCTC